TTCAAGGAGCATAAGCCTGAAGATAGGGAAACAGTTAGGAGGTTAAGGAATCAGCCCAAGTGAGCTATGAGGTGGCTTCAGCAAAAGCAGGGAACGCGGGGATGAAGGAGAAGCACATTGGAGAGCCGAGGAGGAGACAGAGCCATCAGGGCTGGGTTGCCTTTTGTATGTTTGGGTAAAGGAAGCTTAGATGACTCACAGGTGACTGCGTGGGCAGCTGGCATGGGAGATGAATGTAGAAAGAGCAGATTGAGGCAGTGGGAAGATGGTGAATTCTGTTCTAGACATGCTGCATTTCAGGTACTCGTGGAACATCCAAGAAGAGCAGCTTAGCAGACAGATGTATGCAGCTGGGAATCAGGAAGGATTTGAGGCAGACAGTAGATATACAGTAGTAGGAGTCACCCCCTGATTCTTAACATTATGTTTAGGACCAATCGTGATATATTGGATTCTAAGGCTGATGCAATAAATCATCAACTGGGTGGCTTGAAACAAATTCATGCTATCACTGTTTGGAAACTGGAAATCAGAAGTCAAGGAATAGTCCTTCTGGAATCTCAGGGGGAATCTGTTCCATCTTCTTACTTAGCTCCTAGTGGCTGCAGGCAATCCTAGCGTTCCTTGGTTTTGAGATGCATAATCCCATCTCTGCCCCCATAGTCACATGACCTTCCTCTCTGTCTCTCTGTGTCCAGTCTTTCTTTCCTCTCTCTAAGGACACCAGTCATGGGATTTAAGGCCCACCCTAAATACAGGGTGAGCTCATTTCAAGATCTTTAATCTCATTACATCTGCAAGGACTTTATTTCCAAATGAAGTCACATTCACAGATACCTGGGGTTAGGATGAGAAATGGACATATATTTTTGAGAGACACAACATAACCTATTACAGGTAGTTCCCTGGTTTTCCTTCTACCTTTCAAAGTTGCTTTTTTTTTAAATTGTGGAGCAGCCATTACCTTTTTTCTAAGATTGGACTTGCAAATTTGTCCATTTTTTCTGCCCCTGAAAATATATAAAATATTTTAATTTTGAGAATTTTGTTGGTAATGGTGAAGAAGCAACACTGAGACACAAAACATCCATTTGTGGTATATTTTATAAGGTTACAGAATCGGGCAAGTATGGTCATGATTCCTAACCTGGGTTTCCACATCTCACCTGAGATGCTAACTGGAGCCTACTGGCCTTTGCCTCTCATTTCCCTCCCAAGCCTGAGGCTCACTAAACCTCTCCTAAACACAGGCCTGCCTTCCCATCCCGCCTTTAGATACAATTGCTGTCCAACTAATTAATGAAGGAAGAAAAAAATGTATCAGGTGATCATTTTGGGCCTTTTTGGACTGTGATGGACTCTGAACCTCTCTACCAACAAGAAATGACATCTCCTCACAGACTTTACCATAGTGATTAAAGCCATGTGACAAGACTGCTGAGGGTAGGCATGGATGGGAAACGAAAGCAGAAAGAAATACCATGTTCTACTGTCTCCTAAGGTACCAAGTGTCACAAAAACCTTCATGTGTGTTATTTTATGTAATTCTTCCTTTGAGCTTACATTTATTTTACAGGTGAGGAAAATGGAAACTCAGTGAGATCATTATAATTTGTCAAATATCATACTTTCTGAGAATTAAAAACCCAGATCCATCTGAGCCCAATGCCCAAATTTTCCCTGTTTCACTAATGCTATTGGGCAAATAAACTACCAGCTCCTAAATAACTGTCAGAGACCACTTGTGATAGGAAAAACTAGACTAATTCACTTAATCTTCACAACATTGGTGTTGTCTGGTCAGTGTTGTCCCCATTTAGCCCATGAGACCACTGAGACTTAGAAAAGTGAAACAACATTGCAATTTATGCAGCTAGTCAGTGGCAAGTTAGGGTTTTAGTTCAGACTCATCCAACTCTAAAACACATACTTCCGAGGACTGAAACCCTGCAGCAAAATCTAAAGAGCAGGTGAGGAAAGCGTCCCAGGAAAGGATATGAAGATGTAGAAGTCAGAGCGGAGAGGGGATCCAGTGCTCTGGGGAGAAGCAAGGAAGGAAGGGGGTTCGGCGAGGCCACGGTCAGTGCCGTGAGTCTGCAGGGACTGGGAAATGCCCCTCGGATTGGCAACTGAAAGGACACAGGAAGCAGAACCAAGGAGAGCGAGGAAGGGTGGGAGAGTGTGAGTCTTTGGGGAGCTTGACTCAGAAGGTCAAGAGAGAGACAGGACTGGAACAAGGGGGCAACACGTAGTTGAGAGAGAGACTTTATGTGCCTGTTTCGGAGGAGAACCTTAGGTATTTACAAGTTGAGATGGTGGAGATGGGAGAGAAGAGCAGATAGATGACAAATGTGAGAGTAACAGACGGCGAGGGATGGGCACCTGGAACAGGAGTAGGAGTGTAAGGGCTTTGCCTTAAGTGAGCTCAGGCACCCTTTTCACTCCAGCAGGAAGAGGCATCAAGGCAGGCAGGTTTGAAGCTGGCCTGGGTGAGAATGGGCCAGGGCTCGGGTGGGAGCAGGAAGGCGAAAGCTCATCCCTACGGGTCTTCTCAAAATCAGAGGCCAGGCCATCTGCCAAGAGAGAGGGAGTCAGCAAGACTGGAGCTTTGGTGACTGCGATTAAAACAAAACGTAAAGAACCACCAAACAGTCCCATTCGGATTCATTGTATAGTGTACAAATGGCTTTTATGATTTCACACAAGAAGTACAAATGTTAGAATTCCATATAGCAATAAAACTAAAACTCAAGAGTCTCTAAAAGCAAGAAAGCGGACACCTATCTCCACCTGCGCGTGAACACGCACCTCAGCTTGGAACCAGCCGTCACAGAACACACGCCTGTCAGTCACTTACCCTGTAACCACTCGCATTCCTTTTGTATCTATATTAATTATTTTTCCTTCACAACGTTATCTTGGCAGCTCCTAAAAAGCACAAAGAAATCGTACTTGTATTCAGTGCCATGTGCCAAACCATTTCACATGTATCTGTGCTCTGGAGAAGCTAAATGGGCCGCAGAAGTGCATGAAGCCAGGTTGTACGTAACGGGGGTCAGAGGGCAGGAAAATCAAGCTGGTCCTCTTAGGATGTTACCACATGAACATACCCCATGACCACCGCTGCCATGTAAGAGCTGCGTTTCTTTCTAGAACGGCAGCGTTTATGAACACAATAGTTCAAGAATCATATATCAAGAAGGCTGTCCAAGCCAGGATGATACAGTGTTAAAAAACAACCGTCTGTTATAGGAAATATTAACCCCGCAGGTCTGACCTCAGGTCAGTTTTTCATATGGACAGTAATACAATAGTTGATGAGCGATAATACAAGAATAAACGCTGTGTTTCACGTACTCGCAGCTGTCAGCCTGCTCCTGCCCCGCTCCAGGCTCCCTCTTGCGTGGCCTGCGCTGGGACTTACCACCCCCCTGCAGATGAGAGGTCTGGCCTGCACATGGGGGGGGGGGCAGCGCTGCGCTAATCTCCCATCAGCTTCTTCAACAGAAATGTTTAAGCAGCAAGCAAGTTCCTCTGTGTTTTGGCAATCAGCAGATCAGATAGAAGAGCCTGGCTATACAACGAGGATGTGTAATCTGACATGATTAGACAAGGCTCTTTAGTACCAGAACATTCATAATTGAGACAAAGAAATAGTATTAATAACACTTTCCTAACACGGCAGTTAGCCATTTTATATTTCCTTTCTTTAATCTTAGTGTTTTTCAACAAATCATGGGATTTAATAGCGTGTTTTGGCAGATTAGAGGATTTATGGCCCAGATGTTTTTTGTTCTAAAAATGGATTAGGGTGTAAAGTTTGCTGGAATCCACGGAACATGTTGAGGCAAGCCGGTCATTTTATGTGTGATTAGTGCCTGCCTTCTGTCTCACAGTCCCTCCATCTGTCACGATTCACCAATGGATCTGGTTAGATTTAGCCTCATGTCACAAACAAGTCCCTTTTCTGGGCAATATCATATTATAGATTCCGTTTATGTCATTTTATGCCCTAGTTAAAAGATAGAGAGAACGAAAGATGAGGTATTAGCTTTCCTTTCAATGTTTGCAAAATAATTTTTCTCGTTGGTATTCTACTTTAAGATCATGCAGATTATCCTAATAACGTGCATCAAATAAATAAACGCCTGGTGTTCAAGTTAAATTACAATTAGTTTTGTTCCTTACACTTATTATTCTTTAAAAGATATATTTTGGCAATGTTCTGTTTTTTTTGCTGTTGTTGTTAACTCTGGATTATAGACCTGCAGATACAGGCTGGTCATTTGACCATCTTATTAAGAGTGTGAATTAAATGTGACTATTCTTACCAGTAACCACAATTTTTTTTTAATCAAACAATTACAGGCACTTGGTTACATTCTGTACTTGAAATTTAGCCTCTTAACTGTTGCAAGTATGTATCCATAGCAAACCACTGCCACCTGCGGTTTATTTCACCATAAATGGATTCAGGGGCAAAATGCTATTCTTTGTCAGTTAGTAATGATTTGTTCTTTCTGTAAATAACAACCTAAAAGTGCTATACATAAACTTTAAGTTGACCTTTTGAATGCTATAATAGCGTCAGTAATTACAGTGGTAATTATCGATATCTGTATCCTGTGGTAACATTCACATAATCCTTACATGAAAAAAAAAAAATCAAAGACAGGTTTTATTTTTGCACTACAAAATATTCAGATAACTAAAAAGGGTTTCTTTAAAAGCTATATTTTAGACTTCTTTCCAAATGTGTGGAAACAACTATATTTCCCTTAAATATTATGTTTTTATTACAGCTGTTTGGCACCATGTTCATGTACAACTATGTGAATCAGTCATCGTCAATTACATATTCATTCATTCATTTGGACAAATTCTACTGAGAAAGGACTATATGCCAGATACTAGCCATTACCCAAAAAAGAAGTGATTGTTGCGGTTAAAGGTTCCATGCATTTGTCCAAAACATACCCTTTGTTCTGTCACGTCTTCAGGTTATTTAAATGACCATGATGCTGTCACCAAGGCGATCCAAGAAGCTCGGCAGATGAAGGAGCAACTTCGGCGGGAGCAACAGGTGCTTGATGGGAAGGTGGCTGTTGTGAATAGTCTAAGTCTCAATAACTGCCGGACCGAAAAGGTGAGTTCAAGAAGTAGCTGCCTTTCCAGAAGCACTTCAGTTGCCTGAATGCTTGTCTTCTCTGTTGTCTTTCCGTCCTCGCGTTGTCTCAGAATAATGGTTCACCTCCCTTTTCCTTCTGTCCATACAGAAATCTCCATCCTAATCAAAACCAGCCAAGAACAGGCAGTGTTGTAATTCTCTTGTGTCCTATCTTTACCCCTTATTGACAATTAATATCTCTTCTGCCATCCATTTGTCTTAAAATGAAATGACACGAGATATCTGAGTGAGCGTTTTGCTTTACAAAGATGCTTAACTTGTATTTGGGGATGAGCTGGATTTGAAAATGCTGAATCTTCTTTAAGCAGCGTAAGCCTGGATGATACCCACGTTCATAGCCTAAGGATCCGGGATCCCGAGCTTGTCATATGTTTCTAATGCAAGGCCCTGTCGAGTTTTAGGTGACTGCACAATCAGAAAATGTGACTTTATTATAAAGCAAATATGTGATTTTTGTAACTTGGAAATTATTATTCTACCTATGCCAAGTGAATCTTCTGAAATTATCTGAAATGTAATAATTTTAAACTTTTTTGTCCAAGTTACATTTGTATTTTATTCAGAAAAATATTACAAGTTCTAGAAAGCTCAAAATGATGTACTTCTTTTGGTAATGTTTGAATGTTTAATATGTTTTGAATTGAAATTTTAAAGTGTTATTGAGTCTCCTTTCAGTAATCCTCTAGTTATATGGATGCCATAGATAGGAAGGAAAGTGATCAGGTACTTAGCAATAACTGGACGGTTAATCATCGCGGGAAACAGGAGTCAAAAGGATTGCACAGAATGAGCAGCTTGCTCATCTGGACAGGTGTCTGGTTTCCCAGGTTTTATGCACAATTTGACGTATACTCTCCAAGAAGCTCACAATCTGCATAGTGAAGGTGAAATGTGCGCACAATCCTGTCACAACCGTACTTTTTTCTGGTCCAAACATGGGTCAGAAACCGTTTCCATCCTGCTCCGTTTCTGGAGGGGAGAGGGAAACGTGGGTCAGCCGATCGCCCCGCGCCGTCTCAGACCAGAGACAGGCGGGGGCGGCGGGGGCCCAACATTTTTCCAGAAGGCAAGAGGAAGGACGGAGTGACAGCTCCAGGGAGGAATGATAGCAAGCCTAGAGGAATTTATATTCAAATATTTAAGCATTCTTGAAGAGATGCTTGGACAGAAATTCCTTCTCCTCTGCTCGCCGCGTAGAAATGAGTTTAACACTCGGCCAGATGCTAATGCAAAGTGACTCCAGCTATCCCTCGCAAGCGTAGCTAAATTGCCGTTATTTGTTAAGCGCATTGAATTCAGCTGCGGATGCAGCAGTTGGTTGCATTCAGCAAGCATCTGTACCTTTTTTTTTTTAATCCTCCAAAGCAGAGACAACTCTACCTATCTTCCCCCCCTCCCCCGCGCTGGCTGGGAATTGTCAAGTGACAACCGACCAAATCCTTTTGGACAGGAAGCCTTCATCCTAAGTTCTATGTACTTGCAAAACAGGCCTTGTGGTTGGATCGGGGAGCCCATTAAAGCGCTCTGATGGTATGGAAATTCATCTTCGTGAAGCTCCTGGGCCCCTAAGCAGCGTGCGGCTTAGCGCTGGTTACAGATCAGTCGTTCACGTCGGAGGGCAGGAGTTGTGCTGAGGGCTGTAAGGCGATGGTAGAACATACACTAATCCGGGCCTGCCCGCCGCAGCGCCGCACTCTCCTCTAACACGGATCAGCTGCTCCCACGCGTGACTTCCCGCGGGCTCCCGCCCCTCGGCTCAGCCTTTCGATTTGGTTCCGGGAGTGGAACCCCCTGCATCCACTCGGGTCCTTAGTTGTCCGCCGTTAGGGGACCTCATCTCCACTTCCCGTTCCACCTCCACCCTCAGACTTTGCTGCTTTTTCATTTTCCTTTCTCTTTTGTTGAATTATAAGGATTTTTTTTTTCTTTAACTATTTTTGAAGTGATACCTGCCCAAATCTGCTGGCCAATTCAGATGTCTTCGTTCTCAAGAAGGTTATGGCTCCCAGATCTCTTCACCACGCACTTTCAATGCAGTTGAGCTACGTCTTCAATTAAAGCCTTATAGTTTTATGGGGTTTTAAGTGAAAATCTTAAAATATGAAGGCAAGCAGGTCCCTTATTGTAGCAACATGGCAAACTCTTGTGATGTGTAGGACAACCTCCTCAGCAGGACCCGAGCTCGTTCATGCCTTACGTGACCCTTGACCCCTGAGGATGAACTGAGGCTGTTGAAGCTCTCTTAGAAGCAGGTATTACTGTCGCTGCCTTTTCTTGGTGATCTGGCTTGGGTGTCACTTCTAAGTGTCAATGATTGATATCTGTCTGTGCAGCTCATGAGAATGAGATGGCATCAATGTTATATATTTAGTAATTATTAAACATTAGCACCTACTATGTATTAGGGATGATGCTGTGTTCTTGAGGTACTATATTGAATAAGAAAACATGTCCTCTGCCTTTATAGTGTTTAGAGCTGAGGTCAAATTATTATTTTGAGCATTAATCATGGCATATTTACGTTTGTAGGCCTACCTGTGGGGATTGAATAGGACCCCATATTGGGTAGCATATCAGATCAGTTATATATACCTAAGTTGACAAAAGTGGATGCTTGTCCTTCCACATAAAGTGACATCACACCTGGCTGCGTGGCTCAGCGGTTGAGCATCAACCTATGATCCAGGAGATCGAGGTTCGATTCCCAGTCAGGGCACATGCCCAGGTTGTGGGCTTAGTCCCTGTAGGGGGTGTGTGGGGGACAGCTGATCAGTGAGTCTCTCACCATCAATCTTTCTCTCTCTCTCTCTTTCTGTCTCTCTCTCTCCCTCTCCCTTCCTCTCTCTAAAATCAATAAAGACATATTTTTAAAAATAAATAAAAATTAAAATACTAAAAATAAATAGTCATCACTATACGTATTGTGCATTTCCCTAGTACCTACCTTTTTAATAGATTTTTATAATCGCCCAATGTTAGCCATTACAAAGCACAGAGATTAGTAATTGGTTTGACATTTTGCTTCGTAGTTCTTAATGAAAGACAACCAGAATATATAACTTCCTCTTATAATTTGCACTATTATTGTCTCACATCATTTGAACCCCAAAATGAGGACTTTTTTCCTCTCTAAAACAACACTCCCAACTTTTTAAACACAGAAGGTATGTGAAATGTAAGGATTAGGTGTGATAAAGGAGATAAAAAAAATAGAAAGGAACTGGGAGCAAGGAAAAGGGGGAAAGAAATTCAGCCGTGTGCTTTCTATCTGCCTCAACGGAGACAGCATGACCTGAGATCCGGATAACTGGAACCCTCTGGTGGAGATCTGCTTTCTTGAGCACGCAAACCTTATACACATTAACTTTTCTTCACGTTTCCACTGGCCAATACAGTTGTCCCAACTAGCAGGTCTTAATTCTGAAGAGCTGTAATCAGACAGTGAAAACGATTAGCGGTGTGAAGAAGGGATGAATGTTTTTCAGTAACATGTACTAAAACACGTAATGAAAGCCATTTTTACTGGAACACATTTTAATTGAAGACTTCTAAAAGATTTTTTCATGTCTTAACTTTTCTTGGAAGTGTTTCAATGTACCCAAGAACTGTGTATGTCAGGTTTCTTGGAAACTCTGGGACACAGTGTTATTTATAATTGTCATCTCTGGTTAATTATAGCCTGATTGTATATTCAGATAATGTTATCTTTTCACCACACAGCCCGGGCACAGATTAGTTCTATGTGTGAATAAATAAGCTGCTCAGGTAGGAAGGCTCAGAAAGAAGACCCTTGTACATCTGTTTTGTAAAAAGAACCACCCACTTCACTTCATTAACATCCAACTGGCCGCTTTGGCCGTACAATCACCTGCATGCTCAGGCTCTGACCTTGAGGTTTAAGGTGTCCATATCTAATAGGAGATCCTGGCCGGCAATACAAATGTAACAGAGGCCCAGTGCTCCGGGTTGGAATGAAGAACAGACCAGAAGTTTTCCTGCGCTTTTCTCTCACTCCCAATGTCATTATCCTAGGAAGATGAGACCTTTCCCATAGTATCTGCTAGAGACGCACTTCATTACATGTCTCAGGAAACCTAAATACAGTAGTTTCAACACGGATTAAGTTTTAGCATATAATGAAGTAAGGAGCAGAAGGCTGGTCACAGTTTATCAGCTCAGTGATGTCAGGGCTGAAATCTCTCTGGTTCTGTTGGTTTTGGCCTTAGGGTCACAAAACGTGGCTGCACCTACAGCTCTCCCATGAAGGCAAGCGGTCCAGGAAGGGGAATTCGTTTTCTCTTCGCTAAGTTCGGTCTTCATTCACATAGGGGTGTCTTATATGTTATTCTCATGGGGATGTTTCACTGCACCCCTCAAGCTGACTTCCACAGGCATCTCCTTTGGGTGGTGCTGGGTCGTATGCACGTCTTTAGGACAATTACTGGCTAACGGAAGAGAGATTGCTTTAAATTGATCATGAATTATGTCCTGGGACTGAACGAGAGCCCTGATCCATTCTGCCCTCCCTGAAATCAAGGGGTATCTTAAGATCAAAGATTATATTGGCAGGGAAAAAAGGAGCAGAGTGGCTACAGGGTAGGAAAAGGCCATTGGAGCCTCAGCTACATTAGAGAAATGACATCAAAGCTCTCAAAACTGCTCTGCTTTTTGTTTCATATTTGTTGTCTTCTACTTTTGCTCTTCCACTATTTCATGTTTAGGGCCTTCCTCATAAATTGTCCGTGGTTCATAAACAATTAAATTACTTGCCCTGGCCAGTGTGGCTCAGTTGGTTGAGCATGATCCTATGTAACGAAAGGTCGCTGGTTCGATTCCAGGTCAAGTGAGTCCCCGGTCAGGGTGCACTCGGGAGGCAACCAATCAATGTTTATCTCTCTCTCTCCGTCTCCCTTCCTCTCTCTCTAAAAATCAATAAAAAATACTTTAATGAATAAATA